ATGGGGATGCTGCCCCCACCTGGTTAGGTCATGTAGGGTCGACATTGGACCCAACCAGGTTGCTTGAGTGAATGTATGGGGTGGCGAGACACAAAGGAGGCTGATTGGAGTGAGCGAGAGGGAGTACAGAGTGAGAGGTACTCACACCTGGATTCTGGACTTCAGGAAGACATTGAGTGACTTTTGGGCTTCCCCTCAAGAGGGAGACTTGATCGGAGGCTGCCATATCTGCATCGGATTGCTGCAAGTTGCTACTTTGGTCTTCAGGCATCGACGGGGGATCCGGCTTTGCAACAGGGGTGTAGGAAGGCCCTCTTAGTCATGCTAGGACACTTCGTGTAGTGGTAGCTAGGGGTCAGGAGGACTTATATGAGAGGGGAGTGACTCGTTATCCATCTTTGGAGGCCGGGCCTCACAGGTAAGTGCCGTGTGACCTGGGTAAGCCCGTGGGAGGTTGTTTGGTGCTTCATGGCCTGTTGGGGGTGTGCTGGGTTCTCTTCCTCTTCTCTGCAGTCTTGGTTGTGTGTGTTGAGCATGTGGATTGCTTTCTCACCTGATGGATGGATGGATGATGTATCTTGTTCTAAATGACTTATCTTTCTGCAGTGCATTGTCTTTTCACTTCTGAACGGTAGTAGGGGTAAGTTCTTACTGAAAGTTGTCTTTTCCTTTTCAGTACGGTAGAGACAGTTTGGGTCTGACTTGGTGCCCCTGTCTCGTTAGACCTGGTCCACGGCCTACTTGGGACCACTTGGGACCCAGTGGGACCAGGCCCAACGGGACAGGACCTTTGGGCCCAAATCTGTTGCCGCCAGTGCATTACTTTGCTGTGCTGAATCTGGGGGACACACAGACAGCAAGGGCATTCCTTTCAAGGGGATCTTGACTGGTCTTACCGTGTGTGATTACATACTGCCCCGCGTCTGACTCGGCGACCATCTGCACCCCTCGAAATCTCCATTGCTGCAGTTAGTCTTCTTCGTCTGATTTATTGTGATGACACGTCCTCTGTCAGGTTAGACAAGAGGGGATCTCCAACTGATTTGATCGGGCCCGTTCTATAAATCAGACCTCTCTGTTTTTTGTTTTTTTTTAATCATTATTTTTTTTTTTTTTCTTCTGCTGCGTGCCACGTTCTCAGTCCAAATGATTCGCCGCTCCGGCTAGGAGTTCTACCTTCTTCTCTGAGTGGTTTTCTGTTTGTTTCTTTGGCTTGAACTATCTATGTCCGGTGTTGAGACGCGTGCGCAGACAGCGAAAAGAGAGGAAAGGGAGAGTGAGGGTGTGTTGTTTGAGAGTGTGAGGAGGGGCAAGAGAAGTGTTCGTCCAAACGTAAGGAGAGAGCGGACCCCTCTTCAGAGCACTACTGACATTCCTTCCTCCAGCATGGCGGTCATCACATCTGACCAATGGCAGGCCATGCTGGACGCAGCAGACGAGAGTCAGAAACCGTTCTTTCAAAAACTGTATGATGATGTCGTACAGAGGGAAAGGGAGGCGGAGGCAGCAGCTAGAGCTACGAGTATAGCTGCGCAGGAGGCCCTCCTACAGGTTCCGGAAACCAATGCTGACCGGTTCCAGGAGAGGCTAGTTGTTGTCGTCGCAGCCTTGGTCTGGCTGCGGAACTTGGAAAATCTCGAGTCCCGTGTGACAACACTTGAGCAGCGGAACCAAGAGCTGCAGGCTAAAGTAAATAGCCTTGAACAGTCCCAACTGTCTGCCCCCCGCCCTCCTAACTCTCGATCTGCTGTAATCCAGTCTCTCAGTCCAACACAGCCCTCGTTCCAAGGGCCAGCGGAACTGTGGCAAGTGCAGGAACCGGTGCCAGCTCCTCGAGCGGCAGCACCGGCAATTCTACACTGGTCACTATCCCAAATGCAGGGACTTCAGCCCAAAACGCCGCAGTTCTTACTGGCGTTCAGTACAGCGGTCCCATGGTGGACAAGCAGGCGGCTACGCTGCCGTCCAAGTACGACGGCTGACATCACCTCTTGGATTAGTTCCATGAGGTCATACTTCGAGGTCATGCGGACACCACAAGAGGACCGAAGTATGATCATGGGGACTAATACCAAGCCCGCCGTACGCAACCACATTGAGCTCCAAGCTGTTGCTGCAGGCTATGAGCACATAGACCTGACTGAATGGCTGAAGGTTACCCCTGTCCGCGCTCTTGAAGATCTTCTCCTTGACCGGTATCAGGATAAACACGCTGCGCTCAAGGCTAGGCTGAAGCTTGAGGCCCTCAAAGGCCAAACATGGAGGTCATCCATGCAAGCTTTAGAACAACACTTGACAGGTCTATTCACCACTCCGGATCTGGGGATGACTGACGTGTCTTGCATGGATGTAGTCATGGGAGTGACCCCTAAAGAATACCTCTCCCTGCTAGCACTCAAAGACCATGCTACCTGGCGAGAGCTCATGAAGGATCTAGTCAACCTAGAGGCCAAGGACCTCGCCAGGCACAAGAAGGCGCCCGCTGCAGGTGGGAAACCACAACGCAAGCRGTTGGGAARCAGCAACCAGCKTGCACTGCATGACCATCGGGAGGCTGAGGATCAGTCCTATGCGGATGATCTGTCTCTGGATGACGATCTAGAGCCGGACTCCGATGCGGGCTGTTCTGCATCAGCCATTGAGTGTGACCGAAACGACGATGAAAAACTTAATGCATTCAAGAAGACTGCTTCAAATAAGGGGCCTAACCGTGGTTCGGGTAAGGGAACAATTATACACCTTCCCAAGAATGCTAAGATCCCTGAGAAACCGGAGGACGCTTCCACCAAACCTTGGGAAGCCCTCCGCATCAGCCAAAAAGAATGGGAAAGAAGATCCAAACTGCGTGTATGCTTGCATTGTTCAAAGCCTGGGCATGCTGTGCAGGATTGCTATCGTCTTCAGGGAAACAGGCAAGGGGCGTAGAGGAGTCATCAACACTCTCTACAACAAAGGAAGCTGAGCAGTCAGTTGCAGGCCCTTCCGAGGAGCCTGAATCTGATCAGTAGTTTGCTCTTGAAGCCCGAACTGATGCTGATTCCAAGGCTGGTGCAGTCCAAGTATTATACACTGAGCCTTGGGGGGAGTCTAGAGAAGTTGACCTCCACGCCCACATGGAGCATTGGCTGCAGCTCAAGCAGCAATGCCGTGTTCAGGGGAGCGTGGAACTAACCTTCTTTAAACTACTCATTAACCGCTGATACATCCGTGTGTTGATTGACAGTGGCTCCACCACTAATTTCTTCTCTCCGAACGGGATTCGTAAGTCGGGCCTGGGTATGGAGCAAGTGGAACTGCAGAACCCTTGCCGGACTCAGGTGGGCAACCAAGAGGTTGTCACTTCTACTCATGATGTCAAAGGTGTGTGCATCACCTTTGACAAAGATCGCACTGTCACACATGAGCTAAATTTTTATGTCTTGGACAAGTGTCCTTTCGACGCGGTCATTGGCTTGGGCTGGCTAAAGGCTCATTGCCTAAAGACCACGTGGGCAGACAATCAGTTCGTGGTTCTCAATGTTGAGGGGAACGAGCGTACCGTCTTATTAGACGAGACGCGTGAGTCCCCTGTGACTCTTCTAAGTGCAAACAAATTCTGCAGGTCAGTGCGCAGGCGCAAGGAGGCTGAGTTTGTACATATAGCTCTTGTAAAGCCTTTCCATGTGCCTTCTACTTTTGCTGCATTTTCTTCTTCTGAAGGTAACTCTACTACTTCTACTTCTGTTCCACCTACTTCTGCTGTAAATAATCAATCTAATTCTGATCCGAATGCCTCAAAACCGGTTGTGATTGCTGTAAATTCCCAATCTGATTTTCTCTCGCCTGATGAGGATGATCCTCCACCCGAAATCCCAGCAAACATTCGCCTCCTATTAGATCGATTCCCGGAAGTGTTGGCTGAACCGCGCGGAGTTCCCGAGCGTCCAGTCAAGCACAAAATTGAGATAATAGAAGGGAGTGTTCCTCCAAAGGGCTGCGTCTATCGTATGGGACAAGGCGAGTTGGAGGAGCTGCGGAGACAAATCGATGACATGATTGACCGTAGATGGATTAGGCCTAGTGAGTCTGAGTTTGGTGCCCCTATCCTGTTTGTACCGAAGAAAGGAGGCAAGCTCCGAATGTGCATTGACTGTCGTGGCTTGAACCGGATCACTAGAAAGAATGCGTACCCTTTGCCTCGCATAGATGATCTGTTGGATGCGGCCGGTGGTTGCAAGGTCTTCTCCAAAATTGACCTCAAGTCTGGCTACCACCAGATTGAAGTCGATCCGAGTGACCAACACAAAACCGCGTTCAAGACAAACGATGGGCTGTACGAATTTATCGTTATGCCCTTCGGCCTTACGAACGCACCAGCCACATTTCAATCCCTCATGGACAAGTTACTCTGCCACCAACTTAACAGGTTTGTGGTTGTGTATCTTGATGACATTCTGATTTTCAGCAAGACCTTGGAGGAGCACGCCAAGCATCTTGAGGAGGTCTTGCAAGTCCTCAAAGATGCTCAACTGCACCTCAACTTGGGGAAATCTGAGTTTGGCAGGGACAGCGTCATCTATCTTGGGCACCGGTTGTCTGTGAGCGGCCTTGAGCCGGAGGCAACCAAGGTTGAGGTCATCCGCAACTGGCCTCAACCGGCAAATGTACACGATTTGCGTTCTTTTTTCGGTTTGGCTTCTTACTACCAGAAGTTTGTGCCTAAATTCTCAGTCATTGCTCATCCACTCTCACGCCTGACTAGTAAAAATGTTGCCTACGCGTGGTGTGAAAAGTGTGAGACTGCATTCCAAGCCTTGAAAGAGGCTTTGGTGAGTCATCTTGTGCTCCGCATTGCGGATCCCAACGTCACGTTCGTAGTCACTACGGACGCGAGCCAGTTTGGGATTGGTGCAGTGCTGCAACAAGATGATGGCGATGGCCTGAGTCCGCTTGAATATTACAGCAAACGCATGCCCAGCCACAAGGTAGCCACTTCCACATACATGCGGGAGCTCTACGCCTTGCGCGAGGCGCTCACTTATTGGAAGCACTATCTCTTGGGTCGCCACTTCAAGGTCTACTCAGATCATCAGACCTTGCAGTGGATTAAGATACAAACCGATCTTTCTCCAACGCTGACCCGCTGGTTGCATGATATTGATGTCTTCAACTTTGAATTGAAGCATAAGAAAGGCTGCTATAATCGTGTTGTTGATGCTCTATCGCGCCATCCTGAGTATTTGACTTGCCTGTCGGATTCGTACGACCTCCGCAGGAAACTGAAGGAGGATCTGATCGAACACACCGCCAAGGATCCGGACCTTAATCCCATCCTTGAGCAACTTAAGGCTGACCCCAACAACCAGCCTGATTTTCATGAATTCGATGGTCTTGTATTCCGCCGGTACGGGAAATTTGATCGCTTGTGTGTTCCTAACCATGCGCCTCTCCGGACTCATTTCCTGGATTTGGCACATGGTCGGAGTGGGCATTTCGGCTTTGAGAAGACTTATGGAAGTCTTCTCCAACAGTTTGATTGGCCGGGAATGAAGGGATCTGCTCAGAAATTTATTGTTGAGTGTCAATTCTGTCTGAGAACCAAGGTCCACAGGCATAAGCCTTATGGCCTGCTGAGACCTCTCCCAATCCCTCATGGCCCCGGGAAATCGGTCTCTATCGATTTCACAGACATGGGGAAGGTGAGTACGGCAGGGAATTCACAAGTCATGGTCATTGTGGATCGCTTCTCTAAATTTCTGAATCTGATTCCTCTACCTCCTCATGCACCGACTGAACTGGTGATCGAAGAGTTTCACCAGCAGTACATTCTGCAGTATGGGCCCCCGAAAACTCTTGTGAGTGATCGGGACACCAGATTCATCAGCAAGGATTGGAAGGACTTCACTGCCCAGATCTATGACATCAAACTGAACATGACTTCATGCCGACACCCCGAAGCCAATGGATTGGCTGAGGAAATCAACCAGACCGTCACCCAGCTGTTGCGCGCATTGATTGTGCCAGATCAGAACACATGGGATAAGGACTTGCATAAAGTAAAGGGGYTGTACAACAACTCCATCCATTCTGCAACCGGTGTGACACCAAACCAGTTGCAGTATGGATGGCCAATGCGCAATCCCCTCTCCTACCTGTTCCCAGAACGGTCACCTGGTCTGATGTCCGGCATGCCTGGCTACAATGCGAAGTACGCACGCTTGCTCAAAGATGTGACCGCAGCCATGAACAAGCACCAGCATGCCATGATCAAACATGCTAATAAGAAGCGCAGAGAAGAGAAATTCCAAGTAGGAGATTATGTCTGGGTCAAAATGTCTGAATTTCCTGATGAAGAGGGTGTTTCACGGAAGCTTCTTCCACTATACTACGACCCTTGGCAGATTCTGAAAGTGATTGGGGATGATTTCGGTCCTTCGTATGTGATTGACGTGCCGCCTCATCTGCGCACGTACCTAGTCTTCCATGCCTCCAAACTGTTTCCGCACATTGATGATGAGACTTTTCCCTTCCGAGACCCTATGATACCTCGCCCTATCGATGGTGGCCATGAGATCGACAGAATCGTTTCTCACGAAGGGAGAGGGNGACTTTTCCCTTCCGAGACCCTATGATACCTCGCCCTATCGATGGTGGCCATGAGATCGACAGAATCGTTTCTCACGAAGGGAGAGGGAGGAACAGACAATATAAAGTTCACTTCCTCTATCACCCGTTGAATGAATTTTTCTGGATCGACCGGAAAGAACTGCTGAAGAGTGCGTCACGTGTTGTGAACGCATATGAACGACAGATTGTTGATGGACAGACCGCCAAGTTTGCTGCAAAACTCACTCCGTTCGGTCTCACTAACACTCTCCTTTTGATCTATGCCTACGACGCCTTTTGTACCGACTCTGACTGAGTTACTCGCTCGAAGGGACCTCGCTCTCGAGAGGGGAGTAATGTAATGACCCGCCAAAAACACAAACTGAGAACACTGCCGATTTATGGGATTTGTCACTGGAATGGATGCCTTGTTGTGATTCCCGCATTCTGTTGTGGTCCCAAGTCTGTGTGTGTGCGTGCCTGCTGGTTGTATGCCTCTCTGAGTGCTCGCTGGTTGTGTGTGTGTGCGTGCATGCCTGTCTGAGTGCTTGTCGGTGGGGTATGTGTGTTTTTGACCCGCAAGGGTACTTGTTGGTTGCAAGGCCCACCGGGCCGGTACTTACCTGTGGACGTGACTCTGGAGGGTTGCAGGGGGGTAAAACACGCCGGTAGCGGGAGATAGGCCCACGACACTTAAAGCAGCTGGGGAAAACACTCAAGTAGCAGGTAGGCCGAGCAGAAGAAGACAAAAAGTTGGCATTTTCAGAGGTCCAGTAGCGGTAGGTTGGGGGTAGGCCGGTACCAGTCCAAGTAGCCCGGGTCTAGGGCCTGTGCGGACAATAACAGAGCCTGCAATGATGTTTCCCTCCAAAAGGGAGGAGGTACCGGTTGCCTGGGAGGCCGCTTGGCCTGGAAAGTCACTGCCCAGGAGGCCGGTAGGCCACTATATCTTCAGGAAGAGCGGAAGGCTCTTCCTCATTTGTGGTATGCAAGGATTGGCGACATGCTGCTGGAGCGCAGCGCTGGTCGGAAGCAGCGCTGCTTGGAGGTGAAGGTCTGCTGGGGCTCAGCCTGGCTATGGCGAGCACCCCAGCTTGAAGGAGGAAGAAGGGGGACATGGTAGGAGAGTGGTAGGGAACTTACCTGGCTATGGTGGACACCGTCTTCATCACCTTGTTGGGCGCTGCATYTGGAAGGCCCCAGTTGGGGTAGCGCTGCATCAAGGAAGCTCGAGGCAGAGTCAGGCATGGCGGACTAAGTCAGCAGCACCATAGCTGCTCTGAGTTGTCCTTTGCACATCAGCGCAGCACGTTAGCTGCTTGGGTAGTCCTTGGACATTGGCGCAACACCATAGCTGCTCTGGGTTGTCCTTTGCACAGCAAGGCAACCCCTTGGGAGTCCGCCATGGTCTAGGCATGAGAGAGGAGGTTGAAGGGGGAAGCCATAGCTATGGTGGACTGTTGTTGTTGTTGTTGTTGTTGTGTTGTGAGTTGAGTCAGCAGTAAGGGGGAACTTCAGACATTGATTCTGGTTCATCCATTCATTGTTATTATTATTATTGAGAGAAGAATAAGATTGGTGAAGAGAAGGAGGAAGGAGGAAGGTGGAGAGAGAAAGGGGGAATTGTCATTGGTCTTGCTGGTGTACTTCTTCTTCTTCTTCTTCTTCTTCTTCTTCGTCTTCTTCTTCTTCTTCTTCTTCTTCTTCTTCTTTACCTCTCCTCTGGTCTTTATCTCTTTGCAAGTGCTTTCATTTCTTTCGCAATTGGGTGGCATTGTCTTTCATTGTGAATTTGCACTTGGGAAATGACCAGGATCGTAACATTCTTCTTCTTCTTCTTCTTCTTCTTCTTCTTCTTCTTCTTCTTCTTCTTCTTCTTCTCTTCTCCTCCTCCTCCTCTCGTCTTCTTCGTCTTCCCCTTGTCCCCCTCGCGTTTTCATCTTCCTCTATAACATTTCTTCTTCTTCTTCATCTTCCCCTTCTCCCCCACTTGTTTTCTTTCGCCTCCCTTCTTCTTCTAGTTCGTTAACATTCAGTAGGTCACGTGAGACAGGACAGGTTAAAAAAAAAAAGAAAAAGCGAAGGTCGTCCTCCTCCCCCTCCTTCTACGCTCATCTTCTTCTTCTCCTTCTCTGCTCGTCGTTCTCTCGTCTTCTTCTTCTTCCTCTCCTCCCCCTCGCGTTTTCATCTTTCTCCTCGACCTTTCTTGATCTTCTTCTCCTTCCCCTCCTCACCTCTCTTATTTTTCTTCTTCTTCTTCTGGTGATCCATTTGCTAGGTCTTCTTCTCTCCTCTTCTTCTTCTTCCCCTCCTTCCCTACTCCTCCTTGCCTTTCTCCATACCCTACCGCCACCACCATACCCCGCCGCTGTGATGCACGTGCAGAGGGCACGTGCGGAGATGGTGAGAGAGAGAGAGAGAGAGAGAGAGAGCGAGAGAGAGAGAGAGAGAGGAGATGGACACACACGAGAAGCAACAACTGAGTGAAGGTCCAGTCTGCATCAATGAATGAATGAACAACTTAATGAATGACCAATCCGGCCTGGGCCTAGGCCGGAGAGATATACCGGCCTTGGTCCAGGCCGGAGTAACCCGGTACCGGACCAGGGTCAGGCCGACGGCCTGAAACAGGTCCGGCCGCACTGCCGTGCCGAAAGGGTACCGCTACATGATCCTCAGACCTGTAAATGGATCAAGTGATACATCAACACGCTATACGTTGAAATAGCGGAAACCCAGAGGAACGGCAAAGAGACAATCCTTAATGAGGAGCAAGCTCCGTGCAGAAAAGAGATGCAATGCAGACTAAGCCTCAGGCCTAATCTATACAACAATGTCTGGTCTGAGTCGACCCGAAAAGCAAAAAAATGTCTAACCTGTGTCAGCCAACATAGAGAGAAATGTCGGACCTAGGTCAGCCAAGAAAGAGAAAAGGGTCTCCTAAGCCAATGTGGCTGAGCATAAGTCAACACCTGAGCCCTAAAGGCTAAAAATTAACCACATCAATATCCACACCGAAAAAAAAAAGTGGCACAGTCTCACGTGCCCTGTACAAGTACACAATAGTCGAATAGAAGAAGGGGAGCTTTGTCGCATGGGAAAGGTAGGGATGGGTGGGAAGGCGGCAAGTACGGCTCTTAGAGTAAACTCCAAGGGGGTACCCACACAACCATATGACACATCATCAGGCTCAGAGGGATAATAACAGGACGACACCAGGCTCAATGAAAACCATCAAATGGTCAACGCCAACTGAAAGGAAACGGGCACTCACACAAGGGAGCACACAAGCGAGCCTGGAAGGATTGGGGGGGGAATGCCGACATAGACATATGGCCAAGGGCTGTGAGCTAAGAAAAGCGTACACTGCGGAGGAGGGTGCGTAGCATAGGGTAGGCAGAAGGGCGGCAAACAAACATACCCACATGGGGAGGCAAAATAGGGGTCATCATGCGACTGGAGGGTAAACTCGAGGGTGGTGGATAGATGGGAATGATGGAAACTCCGTGGCCGAAAAAGTGAAGTAGTCCAACTGATGAGTCTCCAGAATAAAGTCGAGTCAAAGTAGCCAAGATGAAGTAGGAGTAGTGCAAAAACCAAGTATAAGTCTGGAACACTGCGATAGGTTCTCTGGTACTGAAGAGAAGCATTGAGGTAGAAATCGAATGTAGAAGCCGAACGTAGAAGCCAAATGTAGAAGCTGAATGTAGAAGCCGAATGCAGAAGCCGAAACCGGGAGCTATTGCATAAGTGTCCAAGAATGGTAAAAGATAGGCAACGTATAGGAGGTATAGATCAGTCACGATAGCGAGAAGAAAGTCGATGGGTACGCTGAGGGCGAGAGGAATCAACTGCAAGAACAGGCGGAACCACATCCACGGAGGAAGGAGGACCTAAGGCAGGTACCGGTGGAGCGGGAGGACCCATCGACGGAGGAGGGGGAATGTTAGTGGTCGCTGAAGTAGATTGGTCAATAGAAGAACGAGAAGTAGGAGGGGAGGATGATGAAGGGAAAGGATGAGCACAATTGTAAGCACGCATGAAAGTCATAGCATGGTTCATGTGCTCGAGAGGCTCCCAAGTAGACTCCTCATCAGGGTAACCCTTCCATCGATGAGATACTCGAGGCGGGGAGGGTCACCATCATTCATACGTCGGGACGCAATATCAAAGACGACAAACTCCTCGTTACCCTCAATAATGATGGGAGAGGGGAGAGGGTAAGGTCGACCGTGGAACTCAGGGGGAGATCGTCTGAAGGGCCGCAATAGAGATACATGAAACACATCATGTAGGTTGGCGCGATACATGGAATCGGGGAGCTTCAATTTGAAGCTCACCGGACAGTCATGATTAGGTCTGGCGGGTGAAAGAATAGTGCATGGACTGATGTATCAACTTTTGAATTTCCGAAGCGTGTCGGCCTCGGGCTGGAAGTGACGTGCGTCGACAAGGACTTCGTCGCCAACTTTGATGGGGTGGTGGATGAGAGAACGGTTGACGCTAGTAGCCATGCGAGTCTAGGAGTCAACAATGCTCTTGTGAGCGTTGCTGAGAATCTCATCCATCTACTTAACCCAGTCATCAAGGGCAGGGCATTTAGTGTCGGGATGGATCTGAGATGGACGAAGGAGATCAGATGGGACACGATTGTGATATCCCAAGTCACAGTAGTCTGGAGACATGCCGGTGGCTGGTGAAATAGCATGGTTATAAGCAATCTCGGCATGAGTGAGATGAAGGTCCCAAAGGTCCCAATCAGAGTCATTCTCAACAAACTTCTTGAGGATATTCCCAAGAGTTTTGTTGGTGACCTCGGTCTGTCCATCTGACTGGGGATGGTAAGAAGAGGAGAAACGAAGCTCAGAGCCGTAGATCTCGTGGAGTCCACGCTAGAAGTAGGAAGTGAAGAGGGGGTCACGGTCAGAGACAATACTAGCAGGAAGACCATGATGAATGGCGATGCGGTTGAAATAGAGTGAGGCGATGTCTTTAGCTGAGCTAGCATACTTGCAAGGGAGGAACTGAGCATGCTTAGTCAGCCGACAGACAACAAAGAAGACAACGTCGTGGCCTCATGGGGTAGGGGGCCAAAGAGGTCCCATGAAGTCCATGGAGACAGTAGTCCAACACTGAGTAGGAATGGGTAA